ACCTCTCTTATTGCCTTCTTTTATAGTAAGTGAATATTTTATTGTAATAATTCGATTCCTTGATCCTTTTTTTGAGTTTTATTTTTAGTGGTTGCTTTAGGCCTACAGTATACATGCAAACATTTATTTACTTCAGAATTTACTACCTTAATTCCAGTGAGATATTTAAAAATTACTCTACATGGCTTGCATATCATATCTAAGTAAGAAACCCTACAATCCATTATATTTTTTGTCATTGAAAGTAATGGCAAAAATGGCAGTTACTTTTACACCAACCTGATAATTATTACATTATATTTTCTATCTGCAGAAGCTGAAAGGTGAGCAAGTGTGTGTGTGTGTGTGTGTGTGTGTGTGTGTGTATTTTAATTTTAATTTTTTTTGAGACAGCCAGGCTGGAGTGCAATGGCACAGTCTCAGCTCACTGTAACCTCTGCCTCCTAGGTTCAAGCAATTCTCCTGCCTCAGCTTTACAAGTAGCTGGGACTACGGGTATTCACCACCACACCCTGCTAATTTTTGTATTTTTAGTAGAGTTAGGGTTTCTCCATGTTGGCCAGGTTGATCTCAAACTCCTTACTGCAAGTGATCCACCTGCCTCTGCTTCCCAAAGTGCTGGGATTGGAGGTGTGAGCCACTGTATCCAGCTGCAAGTAAGTATGTATAGAGTTTGTTATCTTAACTAGTTTGCCTATCATTTTTAGTTAATTTGTTACTGTGGATGCAAGTTGCCATCTGCTGTCATTTCTTTAATCCAGTACACTTTTATCCTTATCCACCTCCTTTTTGCTGTTTTGTCAGATACATACAGTTCAATATGTTATAGATGAATCAGTTCACTATGTATCTATTGTTTAATTTACACAGACAGGAGTTGGGGAAATACTGGGTAGACGAAGGCAGTTCGATGACAAAGGCACTATCCTCAAGCTTGGAAACCCATGGTCCTAAATGGGAACAGATTTTCCTGTTTGCACACCCAAATGTTGCCTTTTGGCCCCCGCCCCCCATCCTGTACCCATATAAGCCCCAAACCCCAGGCTCCATGAGCAAAAGAGCAGACAGACAAAAGAGCAGCAGAGTGGCAGAAAGGTGCTGTAGAGGAGAGAAGAGAAGGAGCAGCTGAATGTTAAGAGGAGTTCAGCTAGGGATGGTCAGAGACGAGACTGACTGCCGGACAGGCAACTCCAGAGGAAGGTCATCTTCCCACTCGATCCCCTTTTTAGCTCCCCATCCATCTTACTGAGAGCCACCTCCACCACTAAATAAAGCCCCTGCATTCAACATCCTTCAGGTACGTGTATGATCTGATTCTTTCTGAATGCTAGACAAGGACCTGGGTACCAGGAGAGCACTAAGCTGGTTAACACTTAAGCTCTCTGCAGATGGCAGAGCTAAAGGACACTGTAACATGCCCACTGGGCTTTCAGAGTCACAAGTACCCATCTCTAGATTCTACTGTGGGGCTGGAGCCCCAAAGCACTCACTCTAGCTACTGTATCTGCCCATTTGGGTGCTCCCCATCCTGTAAGGTGTTTGAGCATATGACAGCTAAACAGATAGGTCATACTCCTGTTACAGGTTTTGTAAGGGGATTCAGGAAACTCTTCTGTTTTGTAATTCCTTTTAAAAACAATATATATAGAGAAATACAAATTATACTCTCTTTTATAATTATCATTACTGGTACACTTTGTTTTTTAATGTGAATTAGAATTACTGTATTAGGTTGCTTTCCTTCAGGCTGAACATTTGTTGATTTTTGTTTTTGGAAAATGAATCTGCTAGCAAAGAATTCTGTTTTTCTGTGGAATTGTTTTGATTTTGCTTTCATGTATGAAATACTGGTTTTGCTGGATATGAGATATTTTTCCTTTTAGTAGTGACTATTACCGCGCTACCTTCTAACTTAATTGTTTCTGATAAGTCACTTGTTAATCTTACTTATGTTTTTTCTCAAGCTGCTTTCAAGATTTTTTTCCTTGACTTTGGCTTTCAGCACTTTGACTATGATGTGTCTAGATGTGGATTTCTTTCTGATTTTTGTACTTGGAGTTCATTGAGCTTCTTGAAGACTAATTTTTTCTTTATTTTGGGAAGGTTACCAGTCATTTTCTTGAATTTTTTTTTCCTGCTGCTTTCTCCTCTTTACTTTTGGTACCGGCAATACAAAATTGTTAAGTACTTAATGGGGTCCTTTATTCTGAGACTCTGCTCATTTCTCTTCTTCCTTTTTTCCTCTCTCTTGGGATTGTATTACTTCTGTTGATTTAAGTGTAAGTTTATTGATTCTTCTCCAGTTCAAACCTGTCTCTGCTCTTTTATAAATGTTCATTAAAGTTTTCAACTCCAGAATTTCTATTTTTTTTAAATGGCTTAACATTAGTGATAGTGCCTACCTTGCTTTACCACTTTAAGTGTAATTTCCTCTGGTTCTTTGAACATATTTATAATAGTTGATTCTGATTTGAGGTCTTTATCTGCTAATTTTGTTATATGGGTGGGGCCTTCTCATAGGCAGTTCCTGTTGCCTGCCCTTCCCCTTCCACCCCATTCCTGTAGGCTGTCACTTTCCTATTTGGATGCATGTGTTGCTTGCTTACTTATGACTTGGCTGGTCTATTTTAGTGAAGTCTTTTTCTTTCACAGGGAAAAGTTTCTGATGTTGGTTTTCAGAGGCTGGACACTTGAGTACCGTATAGTCCTCTTGGAATGAAAGTGATTTCAGCAGGGCTCTCTTTGACTGCCTGTTTCCTTGAACTCTGTTATGTTGTCTGCCTTTGATATAATAGCTGTTGAGCTCCACTCATTGTGTGCTAATTGGTTACCTTTATTTTTGATAATGCCTTGGGCATATATCCCTCCATAGTCTCAGTTAAATTCTAGCCCCTTTGCAGGGGTAGTTTTTGAGGCCAGTATTCGAGGTTTGTTCCTAATCTCAGGAGAGCTTTTGTGTTAGCTGTGTTTTCCCCTGGCTTTCACTCGTAAAGTGGCTGTCTTACAGTTTAGCTTTTTGCACTCGTGTATCTCCAGCATCCTTTTAATTGCTTACCATGATGATTTTTTTTGAGAGTATACTTAGGTTTAATTTCCAAATAACGTGAGTTCCCTTAAGGAGAGCTTCATAGCTCTCTACTCTCAAATCCTGTCTTCTGCTTGTGAAAAATCACCACATCACTACTCTGAAACTGTGGGTGGGCACAGTGTACTATTTTCTTGGAGTAAAATCCCTACTCTGTGATCTACGTGGGGCCGTAGAAGACTCTGGTCTTCTATTTCCCCTGGTATGAAAACTGCCATATCTGTGAGCTGGAAGAAGAATGATCAGGGCACCAATATTCTCAGGCATGGGTGGGAACTATATGAAGGAGGTGGGCCTCAGCCATACTTGCACAGATTTTAGTCTCTTTGCCATAGTGCTGAGGGGCATAGGAAGTGCTGGCAGTCTTCCCTTTTACACTGGGAACTTGGGGTGAGGGGGCCCTATCTTTTTAGCCAACCTACTCTGAGTAGAGCATCCATTGAGCTGACTGAAGGATAGAAGAAGAAATGGTTCATGGCTTGAGTACCACCGAGTCTGTTCTTTCAAAATTGAGTAGATTTTCTCGATTAAATGTTTCTTCATTTGTTGAATGTCCTTAGAACAATTTTCAGAGGCTTTTAATTGTTCTTAAAATACCTTTCACTCATCTCAAAGAGGAGAGAGTCTGCAGAGCCCCTTGAATGGACATTTTGGATACCTCATGTTCTCTTAAGTATTTTTTAACATCATGCGCTGGTATAGAATTGAAAGGTACCTATATGTAGCTGCAGTGGAGTCTTTTTGTCTTAAAACAGCATACATATTTGTGTGTACATGCATTTCCTTCCTGTCTTATCTTCTAACCCCTATTGATAGGTATTGGGCTTGACCAGTTGAGTTTGCTCCTAGCCTACCCTTCACCTACTAGGACCCTACTTCCTCTTTGTCATCCTGACTCTGTGCTCATTTTTGCTTTTATGTTTAGTTTACAAATTTCTGCTTGAAGCCCTGGAATTGGTGACACAATTTATAAACTGTCTAGCTGGTTCATATATTAGCTTTGATTTTCAGCCACTCCGCTGGCTTTTGCAAACAAATGTGTGGAATATCTATCTTGTTCAGATGTTGGTCTCAAGAAGGAACTTGTTTTATTTGTGTATTAATTTCATATGCTGCATTCCCCATGTAGCAATTGTGTGGAGGAAAGGATGTTTTGGAGTCAATATAAGGTTTGGTTAACTGCCCACCACTGAACTGTATTTTAAAGCAGTTTCACTAAGGCAGTTGTTTTGGTAATAACCTTCAAAATTGTATTACAATGGGACTCCATTAAAGATAAATGAAAAAATTGTCAGACACGAAATGTCTATTCCTCTAAAGTTTAGATGCAACTATTAATGAGAGAGCTTTCATCACAGCAATTGAAGTCAATGGGTATTGCCTAAGGAAGCATTGCATGGAGACTGTGTTTGAAGGGAGCTGTTTTTTCTCATGAATTAGAGCAAGACACAAATTTATTGTTAGGGTTGTTGAGTCTGATCTAGAGGGTCTTGGATAACTTGTTTATTTCCTTACATATCTAATATGTAAATCTCCTGAGGGTATAATGATAAATATTTGCAATCCATATCAGTTATTTCATGATAGTCTTTCTCTGCTTCCTTCATCTTCAGCGAATACCCAGTTGAATCTTAGCATCTTCTTTTAGTGTTGACCTTGATGGCCTGTGATCAGAAGGATTTTGAACCTCTAATGAAGACAGATTTTATCTGAATATATGAAACTGTAATACCAAAAAATTGATTTCTTTTTTTGCCTGAAATAACCATTTGTTCACACTAATTCTGATGTTTTCTTAAAGTAGCTCGTGGAAGGTATGAATAAGATCTGCTTTCAAAAGTAAGATACTGAATTCAGAATTTCACTTTAAAATAGCTTGTAGGTGATATATATTCTTTGCCTCTTTGTTGTTTAGGCAGCAGGAGCCATTCGACCTCTTGTATCTACTGTCATTAGCCCATCTGCTGATGGTTGCTTAGACCACTCGCTAGAACGTGCAAGACACCGAGCAAGTGAAATGCCTCAGGCTTTTCTGTTTGATGTGATTTATGAAGCATATCAGCAGGTAAGAATTGGGGCTTTTTGAATGACCTGCTGTTATGTAGGGTTCCCCAAACAACCTTCACATTTAGAGAATTTCCAGAAGTTGTGGGACTGAGCTTATAGTTATTCTCAAGGCTGAGACTTAGTACAGTGAAGTATTGAGGTCAATGTAGCTGGATCAGAAGAGAGAGATGCATGCAGAATCTTGAGGAATCCATTTGCAGGCTTCCATATACTCTCTTCCCTGCCTCTCCTGAAGATCATGCAAAGCACACCTTCCTTCCAGCGATGAACATGCAGCAAATTGTGTGTAACTTTTCTGCCCAGGTAGGCACGTTAGAGGCACAGTGCCCAGGGTGTTGGATTGGTCATGTGGACATTCTCTGCTTGGCACATACAAAAATTCCAGATTTCCAGAAGGAATGTAGGTGTGGAGCATAAATCATGTTGTTGATACGAACGATCTAGGCAGGCACAGTGAATTGCCATTATTAGTTAATTCTCAGATGCCTGTCTTGCAAGCCAGCCTTTTTAAGGACAGCAATCTTAGACTTGTTAGTTTTCTACACAGCTCCTTAGACATTTTGTTAATTAAAATGACTTAATATCAAGTCATTTCATTAATAATGGATTGCTTCTGGCTTTTATGTTTTGGAGATACTGCTTTACTTGCAGTTTTACCATCATGTGTTTGCACATTTGTGTAAATAGTTATTGAATATCAGATATTGGACCTATCAGAAATTTCCCAATGAGATAAGTTAGAGCAACTAATCTAGTGCTTTAGTCAACTTGCTATAGGAGTGAGGAAAAATTAGGTAAGGGGATAGAAGAGTGACCATAAGGATTAGAGGGTAGTGTCCTGGAAACCTTATGAAGAAAGTACTTTCTGATTGAGCAACTGTGTTAAATGTTTCCTAGGAGTTCTAAGAAGTGAGGACTGAGAACTGTATATAAACATTCCCAATGTGAGATTACCAGTGTTTGACAGGAGTGGTGGATTTGAAAATCTTGTTGGAATTGATCTAAGAATAGAAAGGCTGGTTTTTGGAGGAACTTTTATACATATTGAATAGAGGAATGGGATGGGGTAGCCGAAGAGTTACAGATTAAGACTGATTTTTCTTTTCCCTGATGGATGATATAATAGCACATTGTCACATTGATGGGGGTGATTCAGCAGTGAGAAGACTGGTGAAGTGAGAGTGGGTGGGACATACTGCTTTAGTGGTGTTGAAGTTGACCTTGGCTGGGAATATGGATAGCTCATCCATAGGGACAGGAGGAAAGAGCAGGTGGAGACAGATGCAGATAGCCTAGTAGATGTGATTAGAGGACTTTGAATTTGTCACTTTTGAGGAATGCATGCAGAAAATACATAATATATACCATTTGAGAGCTGAGCAGTGCATTAGGGTTCTCCACAGGAACAAAACTAATAGGATGTGTGAAAATATGAAAGATAACTTATCAGGAAGAATTTGCTCACACAGTTACAAGGTGAAGTCCCACGATAGGCCGTCTGCAAGCTGGGGAAGAAAGAACCTGGTAGTGGTTCAATTTGAGTCCAAAAGCCTCAAAGGTAGAGAAGTTGAGAAGTACAGCCTTCAGTCTGTGGCTGAAGGCCTGAGAGCCCCCAGTAAACCTCTGGTGTAAATCCAACAGTCCAGATGTCGAAGAGCCTGTTGTCTGATGTCCAAGGGCAGAAGGAATAGTAATAAGCATCCAGCACAGGAGAAAGATGATAGCTAGAAGACTCAGCAAGCCAGCTTATCCCACCTTCTTCTGTCTGCTTTGTTCTAGCTGTGCTGGCAACCAATTGAATGGTTCCATCCACCTTGAGGGTGGGTTTTCCTCTCCCAGTCCACCGACTGAAATATCTTTCCTCTGGCAACACCCTCACAGACACACTGAGAAACAGGACCAGCTATCTAGGCATCCATTAATCAAGTTAATACCTAATAACCCTCACAAGCACATATCTGGCAACTGTAACCAAGGTGTGATATGAAGTTGAGTCAGAAGAAACCCATTGCAAGTGGATCCATGGCCATGGTAGAATGTGGTAAAATAAAAGGAGGTGCGCAGTTTTAGGTTATAGATAGCTCTTCCTCTTCAAATGGCTCTGGAAGGTCACAGAGGTCTAATTGCCATTCTGTATGCTGACTGGATGGATTGCTTCTTCTCCGTATTTCTTCTGGCTTATCTCATTTGCCCTCTTATATATGCTCTAGCCATGCTCACTTTGTTTCAGTTCTTTAAATTCAAGATTCCCACTATTTGGAACTTTACTGCCTACTTTGCTACTTATTATTTAGTTATCCTATAGTTATTACTTATTCAAGGAATTTTTTCTGTCTGGCCACACAGGTTAGACTGACCCATTCTGTGTTCTCTTAGTGCCTGTTTTTTTTTTTTTTTCCCCCTCTGGCCAGCATCAGACTTAGAATTGAGTAATTGCTTGAAGTCATTTGTGAAATATCAAAATCGTCTGCTAGGCTTGTGAGAGCGCTGTGAAGGCAGGGATGGTATCTGTCTTGTTCTTAGCAATCTGCATGGCATATTACTAATGCAAAGTATATGTTTATTCAAAGGAATGATTATAAAAGGCTGTGCAAATAAATATATTGAAAATGGCCCACTTGTTCTTCCTCTGCCTTCACCACTCTTTCCACGTCTCAAACTGCTTATTTCCACTCTTTTTTTTTTTTTTTTTTTTTTTTTGAGGTGGAGCTTTGTGCTTGTTGCCCAGGCTGGAGTGCAATGGCAGCACAGTCTTGGCTCACTGCAACCTCTGCCTCCTGGGTACAAGCAATTCTCCTGCCTGAGCCTCCCAAGTAGCTGGAATGCAGGTACCCACCACCAAGCCCAGCTAATTTTTTGTATTTTTAGTAGAGATGGGGTTTCACCAGGTTGGCCAGGCTGGTCTCAAACTGCTGACCTCAGAAGATACACCCACCTCAGCCTCCCAAAGTGTTGGGATTACAGGTGTGAGCTACTGTGCCCAGCCTATTTCCACTCTTTATTGAGGTCTGTAGCAAACATCACTTCCTCAAGAAGTCTTAGCTGATAATCTTATATAAAGTAGCAGCATCTATCATGTATCCCTTTTTCTGGCATAATAATTGCTACTCCTGCCCACTTTGGGTTTCCATTTGATTTGCATGCAACATCTTCACCTCTTTACCTGAAGTTTATGTGAGAGTCCTTATGTGTTAGGCGAGTCTCTTGAAGACAGCAGATACTTGGTTGGTGGTTTTATCCATTCTGCCATTTTGTATCATTTAATGGAGCATTTAGGCTGTTCACATTCAGTGTTACTATTAATATGTGAGATACTGTTCTATTCATCATGTTAGCACATACCTAGGTACTTTTCTTTCATTGTGTTACTGTTATACAGACCCTGTGAGGTTTATTTGGAGGAGGTTCTATTTTGGTATATATCAAGCTTTTGTTTCAAGATTTAGAACTGGTTTTAGCATTACTTTTGCAGGTTTGGTAGTGACAAATTCTCTTAGCATTTGTTCGTCTCTCCATTTATGAAGCTTAGTTTGGCTGGATAGAAAATTCTTGACTCACAATTCTTTTGTTTCAGGAGGCTAAAGATAGGACCCCAAGCCCTCTGGCATGTAAGGTTTCTGCTGAGAAATCTGCTGTTAGTCTGATAGGTTTTCCTTTGTAGATTACTTGATGCTTTTCTCTGATAAGCTCTCAACATTCTTTCATTTGTTTTCACATTACATAGCCCGATGACTATGTGCCTTGGTGATTGTCTTTTTGCAATGAATTTCACAAAAGTTCTTTGAGCTTCTTGTATTTTGATATCTAGATCTCTAGCAAGATTGGGGAAGTTTTCTTCAATGATTTCTTCAAATAAGTTTTCCAAACTTTTGACTTCACTTCTCCCTCATGCACACCAATTATTCTTAGGTTGGGCCATTTTACATAATCCTATATTTCTTGAAGACTTTTTTTTTTTTTTAATTTCTTTTCCTTTATCTGATTGGGTTAATTCAAAAGCTTTGTCTTCAAGCTCTAAAATTCTTTATTCTACTTGTTCTAGTCTATTGCTGAAACTTTCCACTGCTTTTTGTATTTCCCTAGGTGTGTCTTTCATTTCTAGAAGTTCTGATTGTTTTTGTCTTTATGATATCTATTTCTCTGGAATTTTTTTCATTTAGATCATGGATTTAAAAAAAGTGCTTTAGGTTATTTTCACCTTTCTCTGGTGTCTACTTGAATAGTTTAATAATCAGCCTTCTGAATTCTTGATCTGGCATTTTGGAGAGTTCATCTTGGTTTGTATCCATTGCCTGGGATCTAGAGTGATCTTATATAGGTTGTTATAGAACCTTGTTTTGTTATATAACCAGAAAAATTGTTGTTGAATTTATTTTTGATTGGACTGTGTTTTTTTACTTTATTTCCCCCCCCATTCAAGGATCTGATTTTGATGTTTATTATAGCCTTATTTGATTCTAGGTGCTTTTATGGGAGAGGCCACCACGTGAGTTCCTTAGTTAAAAAGCATCGTTGTATACTGGCTTTTCAAGATGCTGATTGTAGTAGTTGTGAACTTGATGTGTGGGCAAGTTCACTGTCTCCTTTAGGTTTGGCATGGTAGGAATCTCTTGAAGCTTATCTCATTCTGTTGTGATATACAGTTTAATTTTTCCTAGTATTTTATTTACTAAGCTGATACAGGTTCAGGCCAATAGCGAGGTATCCTTTTGTAGCTAAGACAGGTGAGTAGATGTGATATTAAATGGTGGGCAGAGGTCCTAGCCTTGATAAAGGTAGTTGGGGGAGCTCTCAATTAGATGTGCTGAAGATTTATTAGAGTGAGGGGTGGGAGCTACCTCAGCTCTCCTGCCAGGCCAGCAGAAAAGCTATCTACCTCATAGCCTCACTCTTGTCCCAGTGTTCTGGCTATTCAGATCAAACAGGCATCTCTTTTCATATGCAGGAACGTTGATGTTCCAAGTAGGGAGGAATTGTGATCAGGCCTCTCATGCTGGC